CCATAATCTGACCTTTAAATGTTCTATTATAAGGCTATGAAAAGTTGAAGGGATAATCTTTTATTTTTAAGATGTTTGCTCCCAATTTTAGCTATTATTCATTATTTTGTTATGTGTATATGTATTTCAGCTAGGGACAGAGAGAGCTTTTACTCAGCAAGCGTCTAAACAAAATGTATAGAAAGCTTAAAGAGCTTTGTGCGCGGGCAAGGCGGTGCCCATCGCCGGTGTATTTACACCAGTGATGCGCCTGTGGGCGGAACTATTCAAAGCTCTCTGTAGATTTTACACGGACGCGCACAAAGTAAAAGCTCCTCTGAGCATCACTGATTTACACCCAGATTCACAGTTTTTTCTTCAATAACCGAGCTTATATTTATTTCCAACAAACGCTTAACTGCAGTTAATGGCCGGTTGTTCAATGTCTGCTTACACAAATCGGGGGTAGAGGCTCCGGTTAAATACAGCGACTGCTCTATCGATCACATGTTATATGCATGATGTCGAAATCGTCGACAATAATGTTTAACTGGGAGGTAGTGATAACCAGACATTGAACAACCGGCCCTAAGAGCTCAGATATGTTACACTAATTTTAACAAGAGGTGATTGGCGAGGTTTATTTCTTAATTTTTTCCTTTGTCCTTTCGTTTTCTTGTAGTAGCCATCTCGTCTATGCGATAAAGCACGAAAAATATGCTTGTATTTTTGATACACTTCGATGATTTTCCATGACGCACGAATTGCCCAGTTTCGACACTATTCTCAATTTCCGCTATAAAAACGATACGATTTCAACTTGGCCATACAAAAACCTGTCAGCCGAAATTGCGAATAAATCTGAATTTCAGTGAAATTGAAATGAAATTGCCCCAGAATAGCCTATTTTAGGGTTGTATTCTTGATTATTGTGAAAGACAAACGTCAATAAAAGAAAACCAAAGAACGAAAACTAAACAAAAACAACTAAATAAAAAAACCGAGATGGTAATTTTAAAATGAAATTGAGGATTTAAATGGCGCAATGTGGGTCGAGGAAACTTCCTATAAATTTCAGTCGGCAAAATGAGGCACGCTTCTAAATAAACGCTTTCATGAAAGGTATTTTCAATTGTTTTTTTTTTTTATTAAAAGACTATAATTCTTGCTTCTATACCATATTGTATGAATTTGTTGTTGATTCTGAAAATGAAATGTTAAATTTTTGCAAATCTGCCTACTGGTTCATCTTTGTAGCGGAAAATTTTGTGCGGCGCAGTCCTTATTGGTATTGGTACCAAATAGTGAACTTAAGAATTACATGTTTTTTCCTTCAAACTAATTCTTCTTTCCTTGTGTGAGAGCCAGTATGACTATATAAGTTAATAAAAAATGAGAATATTTTTCGTGTGGTTTGATAACAAAAAACCGAATAAAAATAATGTAGCAAAATGATATTTAACACCATTATTTAAAGTGAATCGTTCGTCCAACATGAAGCTTCTCCTGCCTACAAGTAAAATTATAAACCCGATTTTTGAAGGAAAATATGTGCCTATTCAACTGAAGCAGGGTGTACAAGGAGATAGGTATAGAGAAAATTGTATGTAGGTATAAACATATGTATATAAATATGTATTTAAAATCAAACATAGCCAAATACACACTCAATTCATAATTATTTATATCTTTCGAAATTCACTGGCATTCTTCAAATAAAAAAATTTTAAAAATCAACCACGTAAGCCAGTATGTAGGTATGTATTACTTATACATAGCTAAATATGTGTTATAGACCTACTTATTAACTAAATACGCCTAAAACTATCAGGTACAGTGGCATTGAAATGCGAATGCTTAACATAAACTTAAAGGGCTATTAATTGTTTAAGCAAAAACATCTACAATCTACATCTGCATACATATAGAATACTAACTCTTATTTCTTGTATCAGTTTTTGTGTTTTTTTTTAGTCCTATACTATACATATGTATGTATACTGCAGTTGTTAGCAAACATTTTGACAATTCGAAGTAGGACCTTGCTTGTGGATTTTTTGTAATTTTTTCTATATAGCTTTTTTTAGCTACCATGAGCTATCTGCTCATGCATAAACGTAGATTGTTACTTGAAATTTTCTACTAATGCTAATAAATGCTATGTAGGCAAATTTAGTTTGTAGGTTTGTATACTCAGTTTTTTTTTTTATGCAAAAAGTAGCATTCAAGGACTCGGATTTTATTCTGTTCTAAATAGTATTCTTTCTTATTTTTCATTTTGTTTTCGCTATAATGCATTAAGTCTTCAACGGCGCTGAGTTCTATTTAAAATACAAAAAGTAAAGCGAATCTTTAGAGAAAAATATTTCAAAAATATTTTCGAGTTAAGAGAAACGCATTTTATGGAATATACGATTATATTTGTATTTTTTTTTTTTTGTTTTTTAATTCATTATGCGGTTCTCAGAATTCTCTTCGTTTTTTCATGCAAATTTAAGAAATGCTACAGATTGCTATGCTCTGCCGCATTCGAACTATTACAGCTTTTCTGTTGAACTATTTATTCAGTATTTTCCCATTAAATTCATTGGCCATTAGTATTTTCCGGTTTTAAGGCTTTATATGGACTTCTATTTATATGTAGGCAACAAAAAAAAATAAATAAATATAACAAAATGTTCAGCTAAAAGCGATTTAAATCTTTGATTTTACAAATGCTCGCACGCATCAAATCGAAACAAAATCGTACTACATTGCACTTACGTACATATATATGTACATATGTTACTAAGTAGTTGGAATCTGAAGAATCAATTGCAAAAGCAAAAATCTAAATTAAGATTTTGTTGAAAAAGCAAGTATTGAAGAAAAATGTTTTGTCTACTAAATGCATATGCGATCATAGTTATATTTAAATATTAACATTAAGGAGCAACACTCTACGTACAAAAAAAAAAGAATTGGTACTGATTTTCCATCAGAATTATGACATCGGAGCTGGACTAATTTGAATATATGTACCTCCAAAAACCAAGTTTTTTATTAATAAAAAAAATACTTTTTAAAAATCTGAATATTTTTACGAAATGATTTCTTGGAAGTTTTAAAATATGATAAATTATATAATTCCATCGGAAATACATATACATATGTATATAAATGTGTGTATGTATGTGCTGGTATATCCATGTAAATATTTTTGAAACTAGTTAAAAATCGTATACCAGAGACGCAGGTCGAATTGCATTGAATTTTAAGGCTCGAGCAATGGGTTGTGCATTAAACTTGAAGTCCGCCAAAAAGAAAAATATTTATAGCAAATAGAACAGAATAGAATAGCGACCAGGTGGCGCGTTTGACGAAGAATAATCCAGACAAATGTACAAGGACGAAGCTAACGTCTCTACAGTTAAAATAATGTCAACGACTGGCACTACCACGAAATATCTTCACTTGGGTATCTAGTTCAGGTGCTAGTTAGATTTTGTCTAGTACGTTTAAAGGCACGTTAAAAGGGCGCAGGATAAGATAATCACTTTGTGTTGGGTGTTGGGAATATTTCCTGCAAAATCCTACGAATCATGTTGCTGGTAACTTTTTTCTGACACGAGTTTTCTTCATCATACCGCTATGAAAAGCTAAGGCACGTGACGGCCATACAATTAGAAACCAGTAGGACACTAGGTATTTTCTCCCAAGCTCAACTTTCTGTAGCAGACTCCTCTTAGTACGCGGACTTAGTCTAGCACTCAACACCTTGACTTAGGCATCTGATCTTGGTGCTGGTTAAATATTTCTGACAATGATTTCCTTGTCATCACCAGGACAAACTCTGGCATGCGCCTGCGTGGCTGCTTAGAGCGAGCGTTGCCTTTGTGTCTAGCACCTCGATAGCTTTCCTTCTCGGAAGGAAGCAAATCTGAACAGGCCTGTCCAAAATGGTGATTCATTTCGTGCCGAGATTAATTAAATAAAATTCTAATGTTTTTTAATTTTTATTTTTTAATTCAATGCATCCGTATCAGCCAAAACACGCCAGAATTCGTTACAGCCTTAACGCAGCTACTTTTCTTTCTGCTTTGATATCCAGAAAAGTTTCCGCGTTGTATGCGTAAATGCCTATTTGATGTTCAACAATTCCGCTCACCACCCGCTGCACATCGCCATAGCCCTCTGCCCCTTTCCACTTATACCTTCACATCCAATTCGTATTCACAAAGTTTTCAACAAACTTTATGCAAGAATTTATGCAGGTATTCGTTCGAAATTTCACAAAAATATCTACTTAAAAATGTACATACGTACGTACTGCATATTTTTGTGTATGTAAATTCTCATACATATGTACATACAGACACATTATCTGAAAAACATCAAACGATTTGCAGGCTGCTGTAGTCAAGGGATTAAATTGACATTTCTCTTCTAACAACGACATATGTACTAACAAATTCAACGAGGGATTTGGTTTAAGAGCATTTTAACCTTGTATTAGACAGTCTGATGCAGGCAGAGCAGCGATGGCTAGAGAGATTGCTAGAGTTATGTTTATTTAATTGCAGGAAAATGCGATGAGGCAAATTTCAAGTGCATGGCAATTTGGTAGAAAAGCAGCGCAAATGCGGGCAGATTCATACGTAACATAAAAACTTATGTAATTTGGAAATATTTATTTCCTTTTTCATAGAAGAAAAGAAAAATATGGTATGTATACCTACTTGCACAACTTTCGAGCCTTTTCGCTAACTGCGCGATGAACTGTAGATAGCCATACTTCGCACTTTCAAAGCACGCAAATACTTTTGTATATTTATGCAAAGGGCAGCTAATTTTCGAAAAAAAATTTAAAATAGCTTTGAACTGCTTCTAGAACCGAAAAGACTTAGCACACACATGCAGACTTGTTATCGTTGCATTTGCACATTATTCTGGCTTAAACCAACTTAAATCCTTTGACATTAAATGCATAATTTCTAAACTCCTTATGAATACTAAAAAAAAATAAAACTAGTTGCTAAATATAAACAGCATAGGGTGTTCACAATACAAATACATACATACGTACATAAAGATGTTTATAAGCTTAAAATACCCCAACCCTTACCTGGCTCTCCAGCGGGTATGTCGTCGGCCAACGCGTCTGATTAAACGAAGTTGAATGCTCTTGAGATCAGTCTTTGAATTCTACGCGACTATTTATGCATTTACACCATCATCATCGTCATCATCGCCTCGCTAAATTACACTTTTCACCTCCTAAACCGCAGTGGGTGGCGGCAGCAACGACGAGTTCGACGATCTTAAGTAGGGATTGCCATAAATGGCGCTATAACGTGGATCCACACTCATCGCCACCGAACTGGAGATGACATGCGTCGCTGTGCTCTGATTACTACAACTTCCGTTCGGCGACGAACTAACCACAGAGGCTGTGGTCGATTGTAAACTTGGCAAGCCATTATCCTGCCGTATTTCACGTGAACCGACAATACTACTACTCGTCAGACTGCCACTCGCACTGCCGTTCGATAGGTAAGTCATTGGCACAGATTGTGGTGGTGGTGTTCGTTGTTGGTGATGTTGTTGTAGACTTTGTTGCATATGTTGTTGTTGTATGTGATTATGATGATTATTTTGGAGTATTGTTGAACTGCCATTCGATTTGGTGGAGCAAGTGGTGAGATATTGTGGTGGCGGACTGTAGTGTGTGGAGTAATCGCCGTAGGGTACATAGCCACCGGAGATGTCCACTTTGAGGTCACTGTAGTTGGAAGTACGATCGCCAGCCTCCATTTTACAAGCTACGCCACCATTTTTACTGATCTGGTGTTCGCTAATTACATCGGCTGGTGGAAGTTTGGTGCGTTTCTTGCACTTGAAATAGACAATGATGATTATGATGAGCACCATGGCACAGCCAACGACTGAAGTGCCACCAATGATGATCATCATGGGCGAGATGGCTTCTGATGAGTGGGAAAAAGAGAGGGGGGGAAAAAGAAGAAAAAAAAACAAACTGATATTCATATTTACATAAAATATAAGAAATACCAATTAAAATTATTTTTAAAGAATATATCGAGCCCTAACCGATAAAATAACGTAAGCGACATTTTTTTCAAAATTTTCTTTTTGATGCAGAAATGCATCTAGATGCTCTAGGAATATTTCTGCATTTAAACGAAAATTTTGAAAAAAATGTCGCTTACGTTATTTTGACGGTTAGGGCTCAATATGTACAATAAGTGCGTTTAAATTCCAACGATATAAAATCGATTTCAATCTTCAACCGCTTTTTCATATCCAATTTAAATTCCCACACGTGTAATTCACTCACGTATTTGCGTAGTTACAGGTGCTTCATGTTTACACATATTTAAATACGTATTTAAAGCGCACAAGCATTGATATGTATGTATAGATATATGTATGTACATATGAGCACGTGAATACTCACTTTGCGCCTGCAAATTGATTTCCAACACATCGTTGCCATAATCATTCACCACAGTGCAATTGTATTTGCCATAATGATACGCTTGACTGTCACGAATGATCAGTGTCGACTTCACACCACCTGGCACCGGATCAACCAATATTGAATAGTCGTGTCCATATTCTGTGCTGATTTCATGACCATTAAATGTCCAAGAGACGTGACGTGCACGTGGCACTGAAGTGGCCGAACATTCAATGCGCGCCGTATCGCCCACCCAACTAAATTGATAGGGTGATGAGTAAATAGTGGGCGAGCCCTTCAGGTAGACGTATGCATCGCTAATGATTTCTTTATAGCCTGGCACGTTGGCCTTGCAATAATAACGTCCGGCTGTCTCGTTACTAACGGTAAAGGTGAGATTGGAATTGATGCCAACAACCTGGAACAGAAAATTATAGGTAATAAATTAGGGTGAAAAATGTGGTTTATGCTTTCCTTTTAACAATATTATAAATTTTTAATATACTCGTAGCTAAGGCGATTGCATGCGTGAGGTTGGTAAACTTTAGACTAGAAAGTTTTTTTACTCATATCAACATTATCTATTGAGACTGTTGCTGTGACTGTGAAATAATGCGGGTATAAAAGTATTTTTCTATTTTCCAAACAACATTTTTTTCTAAATAATAGCGCTGAGTGTACTCTGCCATGAAAACCATTCGACTTTCGGAGGCAAACTAAAACTGTAGAGCCCCTTCCCTTTGTATTGACTACAACAACAAGGCGCACACAAAAAATCGAAGGAGAACATCGGCCAAGCACAAGTAAATGTGTAAGCACAAAATATTTATTTCTATTCCGTATTAAAAGTCTCAAAAAGAGTTGTTGGTTAAAATTTTATACATATGGTTAAAATTACATACAATATTTACACCTCAATATTTTTTTGGGGTGAAATATATATTTTTTACATTCTTTATCGAAAAAAGAAGCCCCAAATTTTTTTCTTTCGTCATGATATTCGAAAATCTCGAAAAAACCCTGAAATTTTGAATTCACGGAGAAGTATATTTTTCCCATTGTTTGCAGTTAATAAACTATTTATCGGAAAAAATCAGTTAAGATATCAAAATGTGCGCAATTACCTCGGCTTTCCATGAGAGTGTTAAGAGATAGATTAAAATAAAAAGATGTTTGCAATAAAAATTGCATTTTTTATTTTTTATTTTTTTTGTATTAACTATACCAAGTTCGATTTTTATTTTTTTTTAAATGTGCGTAATTCAGGTTGAAAAAAAATAAAAAGCGAACATGGTATAGTTAATAAAAAAAAAAATTTTAAATGCAATTTTTAGCGCATAATCTTTTTGATTTTGATCTATCTCACACTCTCATTTTGGTACCTTAACTCATTTCCTCTGACAAATAGTTTATTAACTGCAAACAATTGAAAAATTTTCTTCTCCTTAGTTCAAAATTTCGGGAAATTTTTTACGAGATTTTTGAATATCATGAAATAAAAAAATGTGTCTTTTTATCGATAAAAAATGTAAAAAAATATATTTAACACCCCAAAAAAATATCGAGGTGTAAACACTGTATGGAATGACTTATATTATTATGTAATTTAACCTATAAACTGAAGATACAGTTTTTTCGGTTGGACTTACCCTATCACTGGGATGTTGTATCCATACAATATCCGGCGTGGGATTGCCGTCCACTTCGCAACCTAGTGTCACCAAAGTGCCTGAGTCTGCTTCGATAGATTGTGGACGCTGACGAAAGCTGGGAGCATCTGTTGAAGAAAAAACGAAATTCAAAAAATGTGGGATTTAGTGGTAAAAGCCGCTGATAAGATGCGTGAGTTAAGTATTGTAATAATAAAACTTAGTTTTGTATGTTAATGCATATTATGATTAGGCTAGCAACTCGAATTTTAAAATTATATTATTTTTGGTACTCAGAAGTTTTCGTTTTGGAATCATTTGATGGCATCGATATACATTCGAAATTTTATCAATACATTCGACATCGCTTTGGATGCTGTTAAAAATCTTTCAAAGCTGATTTAAGTATATTCATTAATCGATATCATTGCCACATTTTTATCGATAAATCTATCCATATTTATCACGTGTTTTCGTCTCGAATACATCTTTCCGTATCGATCACGATGTCTATGTCCATATATTCATTTACCAATGTTTTTGTTATACATCTTTCAATGTTGATATAAATATATTAATTAATCGAAACCATCACCACAATCTCGAAGTTTTATCAAAATTATGCATCAATATGATATTTTTCGGATATGTGCATTTTAAACATCCCTTTAGTTTGCTGTCGTATTACCTTCATTCAAACTTCAAAACGAAATTTTAAAATTTTAGAAATATTGGGATTGTTAGTTCATTCCTGTTAGTATTTCGTACATATGTAAATTTTATAAAGAGAAATTTGTCAAATTTAAAATTGGTCAAATAAAGCCTTTTGCGTTGACGCTGACGATATGTACAAAATGCGTATGTAGATACAATAGGCCTGGTCACACAATTTTGTAACTAACGCCCATCATTCCTTCCGGGTTCGATATCTTAATTCGGGAAAATTTTGGTGTCATTGTCATTTCCGCCCTAACCATGGGCTGACAACAGCCAAAGTCGCATTTTATTCATAATTATTTTATTAAAAACTTCTGTTGAAAACTTGATTTTTGACTATTTTTAGTTTTATAAAAATGCCCGCGAATTCAGCCTTCGAAGTAGTGGGATGGTGGGTTATTATACACTTTTTGCTTTTGTATGCGGTCGGAAAAATTCCAGTAAATGCCAATTTTTAAATTCAGAAATTTTTTATAAACGTGTTATTTAAAAAAATATATATATTGTATCTAGTTTAAATATTTGGGATAGTAGATGTTTTTAAGAAATTTCTTCTTATATATGTATGTATATTTGTTAATTTAGTTACAGCTTATATCCAGCGTTTCACTATCTTCACTCCTTCCCACTGTATTCTGTACTTCACATTTGACGATGGCATCATGGAATTTTCGGGTGACGTTGCGAATGACCTAGGGGAAAAAAGTAGATTTTTATGATATACGTATCTAAAAATTACAAAAAATACATACATATTTAAGTACTATAAAATTAAAAATCGAATGAAAATTATTTTAAAAAATTAAAACTGCTTTACAATTTTAATAAATAACCCAATAGAATTATTTTCCTTGCAAACACACATTAAAGCAAGAAAGTAGCTAGTCTCATACTAACGAGATCGAAGAAACAGTTTTTTAAATTATATGTCAACTGAAACTATATTTTCGTTATTAAATTTTTTATCCTCTCTTTATGTATGTATTTACTGGTACTAGTACATTCGCATTTCGCCCGAGTCCATCGAACACACGGGGCGTATGAGTAACATTTAATTTTGTTCGCATAAAATTGCCTCTTTATGCTTGTATGTACGTACGTACAGCAGCAACAAAAAAACAACTCTGCCAGTAGCTAAAATAAATGGCAAATGAATGCTAATAGCAGTGTTTAATTTCAGCAGCGCTGACTCCGTTTCGCTCTGCACTCCCAGCTTGTGCATAGCCATTTAAGTGCACCACAACTGCGATTATGTCTGCGTGTTTCAGCATTTCATTGGCGGTGATTAAAAATACGCAAATATGTAGTCATAAATATAAAGCATGCAGCACTGTAAGTGAAAGTCACAACAGATTTACCAATCACTTAAAGACCAACGCGCACAACGATCGTGGCGTACAACTCCACTCAGCCGGTTTATAATGCGAGTTATTGCGATTCCCTGCTAGGCATGCTATGTACATAAGTGTGTATGTTATTCAGCTCCGATTCAGCTGTATTTAGTTAAATTCAGCGCCTTCTAAACGTCAAGTCATAATAAATTACGAGAACTAACAGCCAGTTTTGACCAACAAACGCACACATACTACGTGTATATACATAAATACAGTGACTCAAACAAGCGACCACGTGTAGATTTCTTTTTAAATATTGGCAGCTTTTTTTTATTAAAATACCGTCCAAGCTTTCACTAAATAAATCCATATAAATCACGGTTTCAGACCTTATACAAAACTTAGGAAAATTTAATAAATGCAGTTTTTTAGCCCATATAGTTTTAAGGCCTTATTCATAAAAAATAAAATAGGTTTAAAGTGCTTTATAAATTGATGTTTTCGTAAATTTTTCAATTTATCAACCTTTTATAAAGCTATGTATTTTATTTTTATGAATAGCGCCATTAGTCTAAAGAAATGCAAGTTTCAAACGCCTAAAAAGTACCATTGATTTTTGAGAAGCATGAATTTCTTATGAAATAAAATGTGGTTAGCAACAAAATTTCAAAAAGTCAACGCCAGTTTTTTTAAATATAAAAAACCGCACAAACAGTCTCAAAAATCAACGCGATTTCTTAGCGTATTGAAGCTTGCACTTCATCTGCATATCCAAAAATGTGCTAAAATTTCGAAATTTCAACGAAAATTTGATGAATTTTGCTAAATTTTTTATAAAATTGTTTGAAACTGTGGTGTGTATGTTTTTGTTTAAAGCTTGGACGGTATTCTTATACAAAAATACCAAAAAAAAATATTACCTCGAAAACATTACGAATATTCAAAAGAGAATCAACACGTGGCTATTTGTTTCAGTCACTGTATATATGTACGTAGGCATAAACTTATATAATATACGGTCTGTATATTAGACCACACCGGGAAAGAAGTTCGCCGTACACCCTGAGTCAAAAGTATTTGTGCAATTCAATTTAGAAAAAAATAATATATATTTTTTGTCAAATATTTCGCATTTACTGTTGGATCTTAAAGTGGAGCTGTTAAATTTCCATTACGATTAGTAATTATTATTTTTTTTTGCATTTTTTATGATTATTTTAAATTTCTTACATAGCCCATAATAATTAATTATAATTGAAAATAATCATGATTAATAGCCATTAAAAAACTAATAAAATTAAATCAAATAATTAAAATTAATCAAATTGTTTTTTTTTAGTTTTTTGATTATTTTTAATTGTTTGATTAAGTTTAAAAGCAAGAAATGATTTCTTATAGGCATTGTCCACTGTCTTTGCTATTCATTAATACTGTTAGAAAGAACCTTTTAGAGAAAAGACCTTCAACCAAAAATTACCAGAAATCAAAGTAATTCCTTACAACAATTCTATGGGCTAGCAAACTGCAACCTTCATATATTTCTAAGAAATCTTATTAAGAAGTGGACTATGTACAGTGGTGGAAAAATAAACAGGGACACTACATTTTAACAAATTGTTCCTATTTTTGTTTTGTTTATTTAATATTTATTATTTTTTTTAAAAAAATTAAAGCTCATTATCTCACAAAAACCAGATAAATTCATATTTAAAACCTTGTGCAAAAATTACAAAAATTCTGCAAATTTGCATCAAAATTTTAAACTTTTGAATCAGATTTTTAGAATTTTTTTGAGTATGCAGTTTTATAGCCCATTAAATTTTAGTGCAAGTTTGAAGCTCCTAAAAAGTCGCGTAGATTTTTAATAATTTTTATTATGCATGCATTACGCACTTTTTTCCATATAAAAAAAAATTGTCGAACTTACTATGTTTGGAAGAAAATGCATTTAAAAAATTGCCAAAAATCAACGAGGTTTTTTTAGCAACTTAAAACTTAAACTTCATCCTTCTAAAACGTAGCGGGCTATAAAACTACATACTCAAAAAAAAAAAATCTGATTAAAAAGTTGAGAATTTAGTTGCAATTTTGCAAAATTTTCATAATTTTTGTACAAAGTTTGGAGTATGAATTTATATGACTTCTGTTAGATAATGGGCTATAATTTTATAATCAAAAAAATAATAAATATTAAATAAACGAAAGAAAACAGGCAAAATTTGAAAAACTATCGTGTCCCTATTTATTTTTCCACCACTGTATGTATATTGGCAAAAGTTAGTATGCGGTTTTGTTGTAGTATGGACAATTATGTGATAAAAAATAAGCAAATCAAATCACAAAGCAAACAGTGTTGTATTTTGTATTGCATTGTTTTGCGTTTTTGTTATTGTTCTTATGCATTTAATTTATGATACTATATTTATTCTCATCATATGTATATTAACTGCGTTTCAACTTGACATATATCTTGAAATTTAAAACATAAACTAAAAATAATTGAAATTAATCAAATAATTGTATTAGTCGTGCAATTAAAGAGACTCAAAAATAATTGAAAATAACCAAATAATTATATTAATCGTATAATTAAAAAAAATCAAAAATTGTTTAAGTCAATCAAAAATAATCAAATAATCAATTATATAAATAGGCAATCATGTTTCCTTTACACCCCTTT